ATTAAATATTTAAAATAGAAAGCTCGCGATGGCAACATTTCTCCCCCCAGCTTCAGCCGCGCGGTGGGCGCGGGGCTGGGAAAGGGCGCGGGGCGCGCGGGGCGCGTGGCGCCACGGAGCAGGCGCACCGCGAGGGGACAGGGAGGGCCGGCCGGGGCGGGAAGGGAGGGCGACGCCCGCGGTGCCAGGGCCGGGCCGGGCGGAGACGGGCCCAGGAAGGACGGGAAGGCAGCTTCGCCCAGAAGGGCCCTCGAAGTCCAGGTAGCGGAGGCCGGGGCGGCCGGGATGGCTCACAGACCCGGCCGAGCGCTTTGAACTGAGCCGACGAGGCGTCCCACGGGCCCCGGCCTCGCGATCCCCCACCGTCGCGGGCCAGCTGAGCCCGACGGGGGGGGGACAGCCCGCGGAGACCCCGGGGCACTTGGGGGACGGATCGCGCCGAGCACCCGCGGTGCTGCGAAGGGCGCTGAATGGCCAGATGAATGGACGTAGCGCTGGCCCCCTCCGGGTCGCAGAGCGCCCCCAACATGGGCACACCCCCTCCCAAGGCGTCCTTAAGCAGGACGCACACCACCCCGTCCCGAGCGCCCCCCCCGGCAGGGGCGCACTGCCACCCCAGCCCTCCCTCCGCCGCCCCCCACTCACCGAGGTTGACGAAGCTCATGACCATGTCGGCGTCGGTGAGGAAGTGGCTGTCCTGCAGGCTGGCCAGAGGGGGGCCCTGGGTACTGAAGACCGCCTTGTAGGGGTAGGAGAAGCCCTGGCCGTCGGGCCCCGCGCCCTCCTCGACCGCCATGGCGTTGTACAGGTCCAGCATGAACATGGGCGCGGAGTTGTACTTGCCCTGGAGGTGGGGGCGCGGGCGGTGCGGCAAGCCCAAGATGGAGAGGATCTCCCGCTGCATCTCGCGCCGCTCCTGGCTGCGGAGGCGCCGGTGGATGAAGCTCGAGTGCACCTCGTTGTCCAGGCTGAAGTCGGCCAGGGCGGAGCGCAGCAGGAACAGCGGAGCCCAGAGCGCCACGAAGCCGCGCGGCGCCGCGGCGCGCAGCGAGCGCACGTGCATGGCTCCGGTTCTACGCGCGA